CTGTCCGACGGCGTACCAGAGCGGGCGGCGGTGTGACGGCGCTGCCTTCTTCGCGCGCGAATCGTGAGGTGGCGGGCGACGAGGGGAACGGATACGCGTCGCTGGTATCGCGGCGGCGGGTGCCTGGGCGCGCGCTCGTGGGCGAGGAGATTCCGTAGGGAGTGCCTGGGCCTTGCGACACAGACGTCTTCCGCAGCGAAAGGCCTTCCTTGGGAGTACCGTCTTTGTTCTGCGTGGGTGGTTTGAGCGGCGAGTTGACAGACGAATGGAAGATCTAAGCGAAGAAGCGCGCGTTAGTGCATGCCAGGAAGGTGCGATGGGGTGAGTGCCTACTTCTCTCTCATCGTCGGTCATGTCGGTCAGGCTGAGTGGCAATACACTGCCATCTCTGTCCCAGCACTGGTCGACCCCGCTCGGCGCCTCCCTCTCCCGACCGTGGTCGTCTTTGCGGCCCCAGGAAGCACTCGAAGCGCCATTCGTAGCATGAGGCTCCCATCCACCCATGTACAGACTAGACAGTCCGTCGTTGAGGTCGCTCGACGCTTGCTGTATCCGGAACAGCTGTGTCAATTGATCCCGCGAGTAGCGACCCTCGAACGAGCTGCCATTGCGGCCAGGCTGTGCGTGGGGCGGGACATATACGCCGGCGCTGGTTGACGAGTTCTGTGGCGCGGCAGGGTCTCGTGAGGATGAGTGGTTCGTTGAGCCGGAGAGGCTTGTCGCGTGTGAAGGTCGGCGGAATGTTTGCGTGGCACCGTTGGTACGTCGAGCCCTGGTATCCGGGATTAGTGAGGGGGCCATGGTGGTAACGAGGGATGCAATAAATAGGGAAAAATTAATCTGTGTCGTGCCTAGCGATTTGACGTAACAAATGTGCCGTATGTAGTGCGGAGTGGTGTTCACATGGGGTGCAGTAGGGCGGACTTACCAGTCAGCGCCGGAGTCGGGACGCGCTGGATTCGCACTGTTTCCTGCAGCTGCCGAAGCAAAAGAAGTAGGCGCCATTGTGTGGTGGTGTCGTAGCGGGTGCGGAAGCGGCTATGAGACGAAAGCGTGGTGTCGAGGCCAAAAGATTTAGTGTGGGGATTGTGGCAGGCGAGTGGTGGAGGCAGGTGCAGTCGAGATGATGTCAGGCTTGCAGCGGTTTGGTGCTAGGAGCGTCGGGAGTATTGGCACAGTTCGTCGTGGCGTAGTTCGGGTGGGAGATGTAGTCGTATTGCGGCGACAGAAGAAGAGCTTCAACCATCGGCCAACATTTGAGGTTGGCTGGAGCCGAGATGGGCGCACGTGACCTTGTCGTATTATGGGGACTGGGTTTTTCTTCTTCGTTCCCGCCACAACGCGTCCACGCGTCGCGCCTGCCGAATCTAATTGACTAATGACGTCTTATTCGGATATCGCATCCATGCCTACGTGTGATTACCCCTACTGTGCCTTCCAATGTTCTTCGTTCTCCAAATCTCCAAGTCAACCTGCTGCAAACACGGCAGGCACGCCTCGATCCACATACCCAAGACATGCCCTTGTGAGGAAGGGGAAGGTGCGATGTGTCATCTCGCTCCGTCGCATCGGCCTGGCACTCGCCGCGGCATTCTTCAAGGCCGGCTTCATCAACCCTGAGAACTACCCACAACGACTCCTTCCCCGACTGTTTGCTGTTCTTCTCGCTGCGGAGCGTCTCGCGTCATTGGCGCCCTCCATTCAGTAGACATAATCCCTCCAATTTTGGAACGAGATTCTCTGCGATCTCTTCTCGTGCTTATCTGACATGTCTGGACCTCCACATTGCAGCTTCCATTTGGCTTCCAACCGTATTGCTGGAGTCCGTTTGGTCGACTCCCATCACCAGGGGACCATGGTTTGCTCTCTTTCCGATAAGCGAGGTGTTTGCTCGGACTCTACTCGTACACCATAGTGACACCAAAACGCCAACCACTGCTGATCTTGTGTCATACAGGCCTGCTACGGCCGGAGAATCGCCTTGCCAGCGACAACTTTTGTGCTGGCCTCACCTGGGTTCCTAGTGACTGCATCGCGTTATGTGCCTCCAACCATCCGTAGATGACTAGTTTACGGACAGCTCGCGGCAGTCACAGGTACATTGACTCAGCTAGCGGCACATTTGCTTTACTACATAGTTAGCTATGCAGCTCGGCCAGGTTTCGGGACTTCTTTCGCCTTCTATGTAACACAAAAGGTCGTCAAACAACTCACCTCACATCCTTCGCCTTAGCCACCTGCCTTCCCAAAAGGCCACCGATATACACCCTAAACCCTCAAAGAGAACCGTACACACAGAGTAGCCCGAATCATTGCTAACAAAAGCTCGTCGAACCAACGCTCAAAGCTGCCTTCCGTGGTCGAAGGACCGGGTTTAGATGGCTGGATTAATGGGCTTTCCTGTTCGGGGTTTCCGTCCAAACCAATCCTACGATGAATCATATAGCAGCGACAGCGACACTTTTGGACGAGACCCACGCGATCAACGGAGGAGGTTTGCAGACTTCCAAAGACAAGCATATCTACACAGGTTCCAGGACCAGCAATCGTCCCCTATGAATATGGGAGGTTTCCAATCGCCTTTTTCGAATCGCGAGAGAGCCAGTCCCATGATGGGACACTATGCGCAGTTCGGCATTCCTTCGCCTCTTGGTATGGGTATGGGTGGAGGTCGCATGGGTGGTATGGGCTTTGGAACGGGCATGGGAGCGGGAATGGGGCTGGGAATGGGAGGAGGTATGGGCGGACGCATGGGGATTGGCAGAGGCGGAAGTATGGGATTCCCGGGTCGGCCGCCCTTCCTAGGCGGTTCACCGATGGGCTATCGGCAGCATTCGCCATTTGGACTAGGCCATTCACATCAAACACACCCAATGTTTACGAACCGCCATCGCCAGAACGCCCAGTCATCATGGCCTCAATCCCGTCGCAGTCCCTTCGTAAGAAGCTTCTACGATGACGACGAGGATGACGATGAGAGCGATTACGATACGTCTTCGACATACAATTATCCGAGGCGGCGAAGGGGAGGGGGCTTGGGACAATTTAGGCGTTCGCCCTACCAAAGTCGACATACACCCCGCTGGATGCATGGTCATAACAGGCGATATGAAGAATATGACGATGAGGACGACGAAGACGATGAAAGCGATTACGAAGATTACTACCCAGTGCGTCGCCGAAGGCCCAGATATTAGTTGCTCTTGCGAGGCTGTATCCACCGCTGTTCGAAGAAGATGGTCTCGCAGTATCTTCAAGAAACAGAGCGTCTGCTTTGGTCAATAGCGTTAAAGCGGATGAATTACACCACCGGGCGCTTAGCCAAGTAATGCAAATGTTCGAACTGGACTCCACTCTGCGACTTTATCGGTTCGTTTGAAAGGATCACTCCATTACTAATCCGCGTTGTCGCCAGATCTTCCCATCACCGAAGCCAGAGATCAGCGTTGTTTGCTCGTGTAAACGAACGGTCGTACAAGACGCCCTTGGTACCACTAGCATCATTGCACGCGCGTGTCACTGACCCGTGAAGAACGGAACGCAGTCTCCCGAACCTTTGCCAACCTCCCGAGCAGCAAACGCACCTATCAGCGTGGAAGACGGGTGGTGTTTGCGCAACGTACGATGAACGCCCGTTTGGAACTATCGATTGCGCGAAATGCCACTCACAGTGTGGATGGGATTTTCGTCCGAGACCAATGGCATGTCTGCATCCTTCGCGATTGTGCGACTGCTCATTCCAGGGCCACGGTAGCTACGATGAACGAACGGAAGAGGCGAACATCGTGACCCCATTCCCAGGCCATGCGCCCGAACTCGTGAAGATCTTGAGGAGACCACATCTCAGCCGCAGCAAAGAAGCATGGAAGCGGGCTCAGCGAGAAAGCTTCGCAATCGTGATGCATAAAGTGATGGGATTCCGTCGGTGTATCTCTTCGTCAGAAATACGCCATCTTTATCCTCACAATCTTACCAGATTTGTCTTGGTTGAGTCTCATAAACACTCGCGTCAGCTTCCAGAAAGAGGTTTATTCGCTATGTGTCTTCTCTTCCATTATTCTTACCGCTGCCATCCGTCCAAACCAGAGACACTCCTTCTGCCCTGTCATCACCCTCCATTGATAAGCAATGAGAATCGAATATCAGTGCCGGAAGAGCCAAAGGAAAGTAGGATATGCCCAAGGCTGTGGAAAAAGGAGATCTCGTCACCGCACTGTGTTGGGTGCCTGGCGAGGCTGAGCAGGCATGGCATTGCGTTACGGGAGAGGGAAAAAGAGTGCATATAACGATCCATCGCGGTGGAACAGGCTCACAGCTTGTACGCTTATGTGAGGCGGCAGCATTCAAGTCCTCTGCGCAGCATATCCGGTAAGAAGATGAGGCATCGCTTGAAGCCCGGTCTCCGAGCCTCAAGCAAGCAGTGCGACATTGCCAGGCTACTCAGGTATCATCATGCGACTACCGAGTGCCTTACCCCAGTTGCCTAAAAGCGACCAGGTTAACTCCAGAAAGTCCAGACCCAGGGTTTCTTATCGCACGCGCCAAGTTCCTGAATGCATGTCAGCCCGCATACACAAGCCTCTTTGCCCAGCCAGTCGAGTCCGAAATCGCGCAGAGCCCACATCAACCATCAAACCTCGGCGAGACAAGTCTTCGGGACAGCTCTTAGCTACTGCAGCCAAGCTACCATTCTCTTGGATCTCACCGCTTGGTTTGTGATTCACAACCACTGAGAGGGACGTTAACGTTACACGATGCTATCGGTCTCGGGGCATGAGGTCGGATACAGCAAGACGCATGAGGCGCGTACTGCAACAAAGGAACTTTTTAGAAAGCACGTCGGAGTCTGGAACGTCGTGGCTGCATCAATACAGCAGGAGGCTTCACTACTACTTCGCCGAAGTCATGGTCAGCACGAGATGTGGGGAGTACATGTATGAAGGACAGCTCGGGAAACATCTACATGCTCTGTGGGTCTCAAAGTTATCACACAATACAAGATGATAGAAAAGAAGACAGACGCTTCTTTCGTCGCTCCCATACCATCGGATACCTCATACGAAGATGTTGAACCCAACGGCTTCGATGCAGTCGCTACCAAGAAGCTTCTCCGCAAGCTGGATTGGCATCTCATACCATTCATGTCGCTCATCTACCTGTAAGCTTCTTCCCCGACAGACCGTTTCCGTACCATCAACTGATCGCTGTATAGCTTGTGCTTTCTAGACCGCACCAACATCGGCAACGCTCGTCTCGACCACCTCGAACAAGATCTCAAGCTACACGGCCTACAGTACAATGATTGTCTCGCCGTCCTATTCCCCTTCTACATCGCCGCCGAGATACCATCGAACATCATGATGAAACGGACCCGGCCGTCTATCTGGCTGACATTCATCATGTTTTTCTGGTCATTAGCGATGATACTGCAAGGCTTCGTGAAGAACTATTCGGGACTGATGGCTACACGAGTCTTTCTGGGAGTGTTTGAAGGAGGACTGTTTCCAGGTGTCAACTACTACATCTCGCAATGGTGAGTCTTCACTTCAGAAAGCTAGCAGACGAATCCTGAATGCAGTACTCACTTACTCAAGGTATGTGAGAGACGAATGCGGCTTCCGCATGGCTCTCTTCTTCTCCGCTGCAACGCTCGCCGGAGCCTTTGGCGGCGTCCTAGCCCGTGGCATCGCCGAGATGTCCGGTGTTGGTGGAAAAGCAGCGTGGGCATGGTAAATCGTCACTTGAAAAGACATTGGAAGAACTGTCTGCTGATATAGCTATAGGATATTCATCCTAGAAGGCCTCCTCAGCATCCTCGTCTCCACAATAGCATACTGGTGTATATACGACTACCCAGAAACGTCAGTCCCCTTATTCCTCACCCCCACCTCATCTAACACCAACGCAGCGCCCGCTTCCTCACCCCCAAAGAACGCACAGAAGTCCAACGCCGCCTCCACGCAGACCACGGCCACCTCTCCAACGACTTCGACATGAAATACGTCTACCAAGCCCTCACAGACTGGAAGATATACATCTTCATGCTCATCTGCATGGCGGGTTTCTGTCCCATCTACTCTTTCGCCCTCTTCCTCCCGACGATCATCAAGAACATGGGTTATACTGCCAACGACGCGCAACTCATGTCCGTCCCGCCATACGTCTGCGCGTGTTTCTTTACTATTGCTGCAAGCTGGTATGCTGATCGTGTGAAGAAACGGGGTGTCTTCCTGATGGGCTTCCAGGTCGTGGCTATTGCGGGCTTTGCTATGCTTGCTGCGACGGGGAGGCCCAGTGTGCAGTATGCGGGTACGGTGCTGGCGGCTATTGGGATTTATCCGCAGATTCCGTTGGGTATGGCGTGGAATAGCGGGAATATTGGGGGGAGCTTGAAGAGGGGGACGGGGATTGCGATGCAGGTCATGGGTGGGAATTGTGGGGGTATCATTGCGAGTTATGTCTATTTGTCGCGTGATGGCCCGAGGTTTGTTGTTGGGCATAGCATTTTGATTGGGTTTGTTAGGTGAGCCGTGCAGTTGGGTAATGTCGGTGATGCGGAGCTAACGTGTGATAGCATGGCGTTCTTCCTCACGTTCTTCATGTCGACGTGGTGTCGGATGGAGAACGCGAGACGTGATAAGATTGCGTTGGAAGCTGGGGCGCAGGACTTGACCGAGGAACAGAAGCTGCTGGAACGGGAGCTTGCTGATAACGTGCCGTGGTTTCGATATACTACCTAGAAGTGGGGTTAGTAGTACGACTAGACTGTATGTGCCCCTGGTGGCTCTCGGCTCGGATCAGACCTTGGGTGTCTTGTGCATACTAAACCCATGCGGGTCATAACTTCATTATGGCATTAAGAATATAACAGTCTATGTATGATACAATCAACAATTACGCTCAGAGCATTCTGGTGGGTTGCGTGGGCTGCATGGCCCACTCCGGAGGGTCCTCGTCGTATCTCCTCTCCGTTGGTCGGTTGACTTGCGTTGGTTGCATAGATGACCAGATCGGAGGCCCCTCGTCGTATTGCGTATCGAACGCACGTTCAACATTTGGTACCAGCTCGACGGCTTCGGCCTTCTTGACCCTTCTGAGCTCTTGCTCCTCCAAGAGTGTCTTCTTTACCACGCGCATCTTCATGTAGATCCAGATACCCATGGCAATGGTGATGATAAAGATAGCGCCGAACATGACCGTCTTGATTACGTCGTCGTTGCTCTCCTGTAGGAGCAGTACACCGAGATAGACGAGGAAAATTTGCTTGGGCAGAGAAAGGAAAGTAGCGACGACAAAATGCCAGAACTTGACGTCGCAGGTTGAAAATACGGCGGTGGAAAAATGCGCTGGAATGGCGGACAGACGGATGACGAGCACGATGGTGAAGCCACCGTCACGCGTTAGACGGGCCATGGCACCGTAGTTTAGATTGGTGCGCTCCAGTTTGAGAGCCTTGGAGCGGAAGGCGTATTTGAAAGCGTACCATGTGCCGACTGATTATGATGTTAGTATGCATTGCATGCAGTTGTAATGATATGGTAAGGCTTACCTTCGCCAATGAATGTGCCTGCTGCAACGATGGCGAACCCGATCCACAGGCCATAGACGACACCACACAACAGCGCAATGATCTCATGACCGAACAAAGGAGGGAAAGAAATAATGATAAGAATAGCAATGGGGATTAGCCATCCTGCTGGTAGGTCTCGCACTTTCTCGGACCACGGCCGTAATTTCTGCACAGACACCGTTAGCCACGTGTTCGTCGGCCCCAAGGCAAAACACCGAAGACTCACCTCAACGACGGCGTCGTGTTTTATCGTGATGATAACGGTCAAGATACTGATAACGATGAACAATATGTGCCATGCTATATGCTGAGTCAGCCAAAAATGTTCCGTGGTCGCATGGGCGGCGGCGTGGTCTTACGGATGTACTTGGGGGCGAGAAAGAATCTTTTCCAGTCAAACTTCTGGTACTCTGTTTCTTCTGGCGGGCCTTGCGACTTCTTTTTCTTTGGTGCTCCGTCCATCATGCCCGACATTTCAATGTCGCTTTCACGTTTGCGGAACCACATCGCGGAGGTTTAGAATGTGCTGGCGGGTTCCCGCGGAGGAGTCGCCGTGTTAGGAGGCCAGGTTGGGGCGTGACTGCTGCGCGTCCAGGGTCCAAGCGCAAAACGAAAGTGAGGTCGTGAGAATGCGTTATCGCTATCGCCCAACGACGTATGGGGAGCGCAGGTGGTGAGAAGGAACGCTGGGCAAAAGTAGGTCGGCGGTGCGGTTGCAGTGGGTGTTGGTGGCGCGCAGCAGGAAAGGGGAGTGATGTATCAAGCTTCGCAGTGAAACCGGCATAGCCACATCCGCGTAATCCAAGCTCCGGCCAATGGCGACGCGCCAGACGTTGCTATGTGAGACACTGGCGCGGGAGATCGGCGCTTGCTTCCTGGCGCCAGTTTTAAAACCTATCACAGTTTCGCCTGGTTTGCGCATCATTCGATAGGATCGGCACGGGAAATTTGTTGGTCTTGGAGTTGTCCTCCAAGGTTCAGTGTGCATCACCGTTGCAAACTCGATACCCGAAGCGCTGGACAGATCGGGGGGTGAGTCTCGGCAGGGGTCTTCCAGAGGCTGATCGTATAAAGTGGGCGGTGCATGCAGCGCGTCAGCCTCGTTCTCGTTCTCGTTTGGTGTCAGCTCAGACGAAAGGAAAGGCAATATTATATTCAGGTAGCGCCGTTGATCGCTATACATACACGCATCATCAACGTGGATGACCGTTGGAATATGTGGAGATCCCGGCGCGACGCGAGATGCCGCCGTGGCACTCATAGTCGATCGGGTTCAAAGGCATACATAACATGACAGATGCAGCCATGGACAAAGGGTGTTTTCTTCTCAGGCCGAAACGTGATCACGTGTTCACCAATTGAGTCATGCACATGGGCAGGAAGGTGCCCAGGTGGCATCATGATGGTTCTAGCGGCTTGGTCAAAAGGTCCGAAAGTGGAAGGATCTATTGATACGCTTTCCGGCAAACTAAGATGTTTTCACCCCAAACGTTCGTCGACACGAGGCTGCAAGACACGAATCGCCATGAGCGTCATCCGGAGTTCTCACGCCTCCCGTTTCCATCATCATGGCACGTTCCGTGCGTCCTACAGGGCTTTATTCTTCCATTTACCTGAACCGGTGAGCGGCTCTCATGTCTACGAGACGCTTAGGCAGCCACTCATCGTTCTTATCTTCTTCTTTGACATCTAGCTATCTCTCCCTGTTGCGCGTTAGATACTGGAGCGTTTCCGACCAGACTTTTGACTTACGGTTGAAAGCTTTCGCGGCGCGATGATACAGTAAGAGTTCTGCATTATCTATGATGCTCGTCAGTTCTTGATCAAAATGTTTACAACTACCGCGAGATTAGCCCTACTCACATGTATATCATAGGTTCCTGCCCCGAATTTGATCCTCAGAAGTGCTGCCAACTTCGCAGGGTCGATGTTACTCCCCGATATCGATTGCGCATCTTCAAGGTCCGACAGATCATCGTCCTCGTCGTAATCTCTTATCGAAGGCCTTGATACCTTCACGTATGCGATTGGTTTGGATGTTGACATTGATGTCGCTTTGATACTCTTTTCAGTGGTAAGAGAGGAGACTTGGAGAAAGCTGTTGTCTTTTTCTTCTCCACCTCGCGAAGGACGTCACCAGGGTATTTACACACATGTCGTGAGGTTGCGAGCAGGCTGAAGGGCGCGTGCATTACCTTAATTCAGCTGCGGCTGTGCATGTGCCCACAAACTTCAACGAGCTCTCATAGGCAGCGAACGTCAGCCCGCCAGTGCTGCGCCATGCACTTCGGGATGTCATCCCAAACAGCTCACCGGCTGAGACATTGTGGAACCAATCAGTTGCATCCGGCTAAGATAGGTCGGCAGTGAGGCAGCCACATCTTACAACCTCAGGCACTGGACTCGAAGACGGGCGATTACCACAAAGGACTGACCGCTCAGCCTTGTGCGGCTCAAGGTCCTCCATGAGGCATCCCTTATAACAATGCGATACGCCCTAGGGGCTGTCTCGAAACTCAGACAGTTGTCTTTGTGCAGTGGACAATGCCTCCCTCGTTCGACATGCGCGTGTTCAGGGCAGACGCCCCGCCAAACAAGGCGCGTCGGAGTCCGGTCAAAGGCCCCGCCCCTCTAAGCCTACGGGGCACAGAACAACGTACGGCTCAACCCGAAACCCACAACTTGCAACCGCCGAATGAAGCAAGAGAGGGTGTATTCATACCAAATCAGTTGGTGTCTGACGTGTTGGTACCTGGTTCGCGGCTTCCCGTTCTGGGATCTGGGCACATCTCGCCACCACCTGCCAATCGACTCGATTCAAGCGCTCACTGCCTGAGCGACGATGGTCTTAGACCAAATCAGCATCCAATAGTCTCATACACCACGCCACGTCGTGACTCTTTCCTTAGGTCATCGGACGGTAGCGTACATGATGACGACAGCCCCCGGTCCTTGCGTAAGTCACAATCACCAGATTGTGACTCGCATGCCATCGACTCGCACGCAGAAAGAATCGCGTGGCCGACTGCGCAGTATCGTGGCTCACCAGCCTCATCCATAACATGGATTGATCACCATCCAACAGGGGTCTCCTTGCCCGGCCATGACACAGAAGCTGGAGCAGAGGATGCACAATGGGAAAGTGACGAGGTATGCTTCATCATGAGAGACTATAGCCGAGCTTTTCTGATCAGAGTCCCTTCAGCCTACCTCACTCGGCCATTCCCGGTCGTTCTCAGAGGAGTCATGGGATCCTGTGCGCGCCTACACGTCGTCACTAGGTCCTCCGGCTTGTCGGAACCTTTTGATCTCACCGAAACTAAGCGTCACAAATATCTCAGACGCTGGTGATCAGCAGCAATTGCGTGAAGAGCGCAATCTTTCGCCCCCAGAAGTCTCATTCGACGAGGACCTAGCGCAGTCATTAGCCTCGTTGCCACCCCTAGGCGATAGGTATGAGCTACAACAAGAGATCATGGATGCGCGTCTGAGTACACGAGACAACGAGGGCCAGATCGAGACATTCATTCCCAAGGCCAAATTGCGTCATGTGATAACGGTCGACGCTGTAACGCGAGAACTAACTAGGACTGCGACGCAATCCACGGTGCGGCTTTCATCCGAAGAAATACAGTCTTACGCAAGGATAGTGTGCACAGAAAGTGAGGATGAAAGGCAAAAGGGAACCACCAAAATCACGACGTTCCGCAAAATATTTGCACTCTTGGTGCTAATCGAAGCTGTTTCTTCGATCGTGGACTTCGTGAGAGAGGGAGTCACGGATCAGGATCTACCCCTCGTGAAACATGACGGAACCGGCGAATTGTATCGCAAAGGCGGTCAGATCTGTGTTCCTCGTGGTTGCTTCAAGGAGTGGTCACCCTTGAAGCTTGAGAACTTCCAACGCTATCAGTGGTGGCTACTTGCGACATACTTTTCGCCACCCGACGACGACGG